ACAAATGCGGTGCGTCTGTGCGATGGACTACAACTCAGCCCTGAACAGGCATGAAGGACTGACACGTGCTAAGATGTGGGTGAAGTTCAGGCTGCTGAGTGAAAGCAGCCAGTCACGAGGAAACCTCGTATATCTGATTCCACGTGTATGAAATGTCCAGAGTGGGTAACTCCATCGAGACAGAAAGCAGATTGGTGGTTGCTGAGGGCCAGGAGCTGGGGGGAGGAGGGGAAGGGACAGTAACTGTGTAATGGGGGCGGGGTCCCCTTCTGGGGTGACCGGAATGTTTGGAACTGGATGGAGGAGGTAGTTGCATGAATTCTCAATGCACTCAATGCCTCTGAATGGTTCACTTTAAAATGATTAACTTTGCCCTAACCGGTTTGGCTCAGTGGATAGAGCATCGGCCTGCGGACTGAAGGGTCCCAGGTTTGATTCTGGTCAAGGGCATGTACCTTGGTTGCGGGCACATCCCCAGTAGGGGGTGTGCAGGAGGCAGCTGATCGATGTTTCTCTCTCATTGATGTTTCTAACTCTCTATCCCTCACCCTTCCTCTCTGTAAAAAATCAATAAAATATATTTTTTAAAAATGATTAACTTTGTTATGTTTCACCTCACTAAAACACATATGGATTAACACAGGAAACGCAATGTTATTAGAATCAGGGACCTCCAAATACAGATCCAGATGCCTAGCCGGAGCCGGGACTAATGCCGCTGCAGGTGCTCCGGCCCCTGCTCCCCACCCCCCGCCCACACGTGCTGCTGGGGGAGCTGGCCTCGCACGCTTCTGTGGGCCCCTCAAATCCGAGGCAGCATCAGTGTGTGTGTGACCGAGGCAGAGCGCCCCGGGCGTGGACGGGACCCCGAGCCGCTGGTGAGCTCACAGGTGCCCATGCCTCCTCCGAGGAAGCCGCTCTGTTTAGTTCCCTGCTGGCTCTTTGCGGGGGAGGAGAGCGAGGCGCGCAAAGGTAACGCACCTGCTCAGCGTCCCAGCTGCAAAGAAGCGAGGTGGGGAGGTGGGTGTGAACTCCGGTATTTAAACAGCCGGCGGCCCGTTTCCTGCCCACGTAGCTCAGGAGGAAGGGCGCAGGCCGCGGAGCTGCGGGCGGCCTCAGTTTCCCTGTCTGTAACCTGGGACGGAGGGCAGCCGCCGCTCCCTGGAGTCCCGGGTCCAGGAAATTCAATCTCCCGGTGCACTCGGCACGCCACAGCTTCTACCTTGAAAGGAAGAAAAAAAGGCCCTTTCCCACCTCTTCTCTCTCTGCTGGTTCTCCCCTAAACGGAGAAACTTGACTGTTTGTTCTTCAAACGTTTATTTCATTCTTTAGGGTTCTTTGGGGGGGGGGGGTTGTTTTGTTTTTTTGGAAGGGGGCGGATAGGTGAAGGTAATCTGTTTTCGGACTTAAGATAAAAAAATCGCAGCGAAGGGCCGGCCTGACTCCATAATTAATGGGGCGGCTTGTGATAGGGTCCCCCTGCCGGTGGCGCTCCGGGACCCGCCTTTTTACATAAGATATGGCCCGCGCCGGAGCGGCAGGCGTGATTTATGGGGTTCCCTGCTCCAGAAAACCTCTCCCGGGTCGCCCAGCCCTGGAATTTATCAGGGAGTTTGGAAGCGAGGCGAGAAACCTGCCCGTGACATTTTTGGTGGCGTTTACACAGCACCAACACTGGGGAAGGGAGAGGCCGAGGGGACTGGGAGGGAGGGGTGCAGGGGGGCATGTGGGTCGGCTTTCCCGCTAGCAGAGCCTGACACGAGGATTCTTGGATGGTGATTTCTTCAGGGAGGGCGCAGGGCAGAGGGGGAGGAGAGGGGAGGGGAACACAGGGGGCGGGGGTGGGGCTGGGGGTGGCCTCCCAGGCATCTCTGGGCCCAGTGGCTTCCATGGGCTGCACCCCCTGATACAGGGACCCCAGCCTAGGTGAGGGGACTGCAGGGCGAAGGTTTGGGGGCACAGGTGATAAGAATCCAGGCTGGGGTCAGGGCCGAGGGAGGGGGGTGCCTGATGCTCCCTCCCGCAGGGCTTCGCTCGGTCTCGGGATAAACAGCCCAGCCCTGGCCACACCTGAGCCCGGGCCCTTCCCCTCGCACATGCTGTTCCCGCTGCTCTTCCCGCCGCCCGCGAGGCGGCTCCTTCACTCCCTCAGACCTCGGCTTCTCGGGCCATCCTTCCCAAGGGCCCATCGACTAAGAGGCCTCAGAGGCAGCGCAATCGGGGCCACGTGAACACACAAGCCCTAATGAGACGCTGTTGAGACCACCTGGGAGGAGGGGACGCGGAGCGGGCAGTAGATTCCTATGAAGGAGCCACGGGGTCGTTGTGGTGCCGTGGGAATGGCGTTGTGCGTACAGTAAATGTGTTTCCTCGCCTGTTAGGGATCCACCCTGACATACTTGACGGGTAAAACAATACGGCGCCTGGATTGCTTTCACAGACCCCCAAGAGGACACGGGTGCGCACACCGCCTCGCACAGCCGAGCTGGGATGGGACACTGGCCTGGGCGAGCCGTCCTGTCCCCACCGTGAGGGGCCCCGGGGGGCTCACACCGCCTCGCCTGGGGCAGCTCTGGGCAAGAACCCCTCCTTTGCCAGCCAAGGGCTGCCTCCAAGCCTCTGCGTCCCCTGGCCTCGGGCTGGAGGGGGGACCAGGTGGAGGTGCGGCCTGGAGGCGGGAGTCAGAGAGCCTGGCGAGGGGACCCAGGAACCGCCAGCCACTAGGACGCACAGGAAACAGAGGAGGTCTGGGCCAGGGACGGGCCCCAGCTGGGGAGGAGAAGCAGGCGTCCCCACAGGTACCCACACCCGTGGCCCAGTGTCCAGGGCTCCCCACACAGCCCTGGACCAACACCTAGAAGTCCTGCTCCCGGGGCCCTGCTGGCAGGCTCCCCGTCTTCCCACTGAGGGTCCGAGGGGGCAGAGACGGAGGGTAGGTCTCTGCGGTTCGCATCTCGCCCCATCCATCACAGCCTGTGGCCACGGCTCCATTGTCTGCTGTGTCCTTCTCTCTCCCTGTGCTGCCCCTGCCCTTGGCGTTCCTCGGGTGTCAACCAGGAAGGGCTGCCCTAAGGTGACTGACGTGCGTTATCTGGACAGAGTCAACAGGCCCCTCGGCTTCTTATCTCCGGGACCAGGAGAGGGGCAACCAGCAGCTGCCGAGCCTCCCAGGAGGGCAGCCCGGGGCGGAGGCTGCCTGGGAGACAGAGCACCTGGGTGGAGGCGAGCTCTGCCTCTCACCTGGAGGAGCAGGGGGTGGGGGAGACCATCGCTGGCCGAAGCAACCCAGGAAGGCTTCAGGGAGGAGGCTGCCCTGCACTGGGCTTTGAAGCATGTGCAGGATTTAGAAGCGGGCGGTGCGTGTCAGGCAGGGGACAGAGCTTAAGCAAAGGACAGGAGGGGTGAGAGCAGTAAGGGTTCGAGGCATGAGCCTCGGGTGCGTACATATCAGGGTTGCAGTCCAGCTGTGCGACTTGGAGTAACGGCTCTGTGCCTCCGTTGCCTCATTTGCAAACATGAAGAGAATAGTACCTACCATTCGGGTGATTGTGAGATTAGATAAAATGACTGCTATGGCCCAAAGCACACAGTAGGTGCTCAATATATCAAGAAATGTTAGTGCCTCTGCACCCTTCCTTGTCGGGGAAAACGCTCAGGAGACAGTAAGAACTAACAGTTATTGAAAGCCTACCTCTGCCGGGTCCACAGGAGTAATCCACAAACCACCCGTTTTACAGGTTAGAACACTGAGGCCCTGAACGGAGCTTCGTTTGCTCAAGGTCGCCGGGCTGGCGAGGAGGGACAGAGCTCCGGCTCAGGGCCGGCTGGGTCCGCCTCTGGGGCTCTCGGGGCCCCTCCTCCTGTGGGGAACGCACACAGTATCACCCCAAGGGAACAGGGCTGGTCCTGCTGGCTTCTGAGGGGCAGGTCTGGCCCAATGTCTGGGGTCAAAGAGAGAAGCAGACCCAGCAGCAAGAGGTGAGGGAGGGCACCGCCACTCTCAAGTCCTCCACTGGAGGACAGGGCGAGGCGCCCGGGGAGGGCACGGCTCGGGCCACGGAAAGGAGGTGGGAAATGGCGGCTGGGCTTCCTCCAGCCCAGAGGTGCAGCCTGAGGCCCAGAGAGGGGAAAGCATTTGCCCAAGGTGGTCATGAAGCAGGGGTGCCTCCGTGCGACCAGGAGGTGGGTGCTGCCGGGGGCTGTGGTGCCAGCTGGCCCCACTCCCTGAGCCTTGTTTCCTGTGGGGCTGGAAAGGTTGGGTAGAGCTCCCCATGCAAGACCTTGGGTCCCGCCATCTCTGGGCCTCAGCACCTCCAGTGGAGGGAGGTCCCCATGAGGTGGGGTCTGGGAGTCAGAGGGGCAGGATTCCCATTGGAGGCGCGTTGCTGCCCCCTGGTGGCGCCAAGAGACTAACTTCCCCTCCCGTTTCCTAGGAGATCCTCTGGCCAGCCAGTCCCCACCCTCCCTGTGTCCAGACCCCCCTGGAGGTCCCACCGCCACCACCCCCACATGAAGAAGACCCAGGTCCAAGACAGGCAGAGTCCTATTGAAGACCACAGGCTTTGAACCTGACCGGGCCACATTCCCGTTGTGCGACCTTGGGTGGGTTAGGTCACCCTCCCTGCCTCGGTTTCCCCATCTGTAGAACAGGGTGGTAATAATGGTTTTATTTCATGGTGCCCTTTAGTGTCAGAGAAGATAATGAGTAGTAAGTTCTTACACGGGTTTCTGGCCCACAGCCAGCACCTGCTAAAGGATGGAGATGTTGTCTTCACCTGCCCAGGCCCGAGAAGGGAGAGGGCATCCCCGCCTCGTCCTGTCCCCCAGCTGAGGCGAGCCCTGCTAGGAGCTCAGTGCAGCCAGCGGCTCTGGGAGGCCTGAGCGTGGAACCCCTGGCTTTGCTTCTCAGGCTGTGGCGTGGAGGGAGCTGCTTCATCAGAGCCGGGCTTGAGGAATGAGCTCATGGAGGTGGAAAGACTGGACCCACCGGAGTTACAGACTCAACTCAGAAAGAGTTTATTGGTCAGGGCTGGGGGTGGAGCTGAAGGGAGCAGTCCAGGAAGGCTTCCTGCAGGAGGCGGCCAGCCCAGAAGCACAGGGTAGCTTCCACTGCCATCTGTGAGCACAGAGGCCCCTCGGCAGCTCCAGGAGCATCCAGGAGCCTCAGCTCTGGCCTAGCTGGGCCTTCAGTTCCTGCAGCTCTCGGCTGTCAATGTTGTTGCCTCCACACACGATGACCACCACGGAGGCCAGCGTGGGGCTCAGGCGGCCCTCGGCCTGGAGCCTCCCCAGGAGGCCCGAGTAGATGGCGGCTAAGGCTGCCCCGCAGGCAGGCTCCACCAACATGCGCTCGTCATCTGCCCAGAGCGGGGGATGGGGTGGAGAGGAGAGAGAGGGGAGCCCAGTCAGTGCTCACAGGCTCTGGGTGTTGCAAACCCATGCAGCCAGCCAGCCACCTCACGGCCTGTCTGACTCCCTCTCCACCCATCTGTCTCTCCACCCATCCACCTTTCCTGTATCTATCCATCCATCTCTTCCTCTATCCATCACTAGGCTGTCTGTCTGTCCATCTATTAGTGTGGCCATCAATCAGCTTATCCATTGATCCATCCATCCATCCATCCACTATCTATCTTTTGACTATCTGTCTGTCCATCCATCAATGTGTCTATTAATCAATGTCCATCCATCTATTCGTTTCTGTCATTCATCAATCCGTTGCCCCATCAATCGCTTTGCCCATCCATCTGTCCATTACCCACCTTGTCACTCACACATCCTCCATTCATTCAACACGTCTTTATGGCGCGCCCACTCCCCGCCCAGCCCTGCACTAGGAAGACCCTGGGGACACAACAGTGAACAGACACACCAGCCCCTGCCCTCAACGCGTTCACGACCTAATGATGTAGCCGGATTGGAATCGGGCAGTTAGGAGATTAGTGGGACTGGTGCATAGGAAGTGTCCGACCCAGGCGGGATGGGGGTGAGAGATCAAAGGAGGCTTCCTGGAGGTGGTGTCATGACGGCTGAGGCCCCTTAGTCACATGGAGCTGACAGGGAGCAGGACTGGGAATGGGCAGCTCCGAGAAGAAGAGCGTGTACGAAAGTCTGGAGGCTATAGCGACAGCACAGCACACCCTTCTGTAGCCCCTCCGCTTCCACCCACTCATGGCACGGTCCCTGCCCACCCAGCCGGCGACAGGCACTGGGCACACGCTCTCACTCGGGGACCTGGACCTCGTAGGTGTCTGAGCCCAGGTCGGGGACCGCGCTCACTCACCGAGGAACCGCTGCACGGCAGTCACAGCCTCGCTGTCCTCCACCACCTCAGAGAGGATGTGCAGCTCCTGCGTGCACGCCAGGGCCCGTGCCGCCACCGTCTTGGCACCCAGGCACTTGGCCACGCTGTAGGAGGGGGCAGGTGGGGCGGGGGGTGCAGGATGCAGGGAGGAGCTGGTGAGCCACACACAGACCCAGCTCTCCCTGCCCCTGCCCAGAGCGGCCCTGCCCACACCCTGACTTTGGACTTGCAGCTCCCAGGGTTGTGAAAGAACACATTTCTCTTGTTTCCAGCCCCCTGATTTGTGGTGACGTCTGTGGAAGCCCTGGGTGACACATACAGCGTCCATGATGTTGGATGAAGAGTATGAGGCAGGGGCTGAGGCTGGACCGCTCTCTGTTCATTAATTAGTTTATTAGTTTATGAGCTGGTTTGACTCAGTGGACAGAGCGTTGACCCATGGACTGAAGGGTCCCGGGTTCGATTCCAGTCAAGGGCAAATATCTTGGTTGCAGGTCAATCCCCTGCCCTGGTCAGGGCACGTGCAGGAGGCAACCAATTGATGTGTCTCTCACATCAATATTTCTCTCTCTCTCTGTCTCTCCCCTCTCTTCCACTCTCTCTAAAAATCAATGGGAAAATATCCTTAGGTGAGGATTAACAAAAAAAACAAAAGAAAAATGCAATGGGGGAAAAATTCTCTAATGGTGTTGGCCAAAAAACCCACAAAACTATGTTCATGGTATACAATATGAACAGAAAAATAGGTTACAAAACTGTCCGAAGACTATCATCTCAGCTTTTAAAAATACATAATTGATTCCTTTTACAAACGTTTGTTGATCACTTACTATGTGCCCAGCACATGTCCCTTGTGTGCAATGACACATGGACGGGGGCAGGGCGGGGGAGGGAGGCAGGCAGAGATGGGGAGATGCACCCCATGTGAGCAGCGTGCACGGCGGACGTGAGTGAGGGCGGCGTTCGGTTTTCTGTTGTTGGCGCTTGCCGGCACTTCCGACGGCAACGCACCTCCATTGCTTCGGTGATGACACCGACCAGTGGAAGCTGTTTTACTCGCTGATGAGACGGACATGAAATAGATCCTCCTCCTGCAGCACTGCCTTCAACTGAGACCCGCAGGCTGTGGTCGGGGTCCCGGGTGGAGGAGACCCTCCTGAGTGCGCCCGCCTCCACCACTTGGGGCCAGGAGCCCCGGAAGCTGCATCCTCACCCTCCAGCCCCACAAACGCCCAGCCTGTGCCTACCTGGTGATGTTGGGCAGCGTGACCAGCCTGCCTGCCTCCATGGCCGCGTTGAAACAGTGGGCCCCTCGGGTCTCCATGGCGATGATGGGCACGTCCCCCCAGCCCACCTCCTGCAGCCCCTGGACCACTCCGCACAAGAGGCCGCCGCCCCCCACCGACAGCGCGATGGCCCCCGGCTTTGCTCTCAGCGTCTCCTTCAGCTCCTTCACGATGGAAGTGTGGCCGTCCCTGGAGGGTGGGGGAGGGACCGGGTCAGGGCTGGGGCCCAGGGCTGGGGCAGGGGTCCTCTGCCACTTGTCCTCGGGGCTGGTCTCCTCCCTGACTTCCAGCTGCCAGCATCTGCATCTCTACCTGGAGGCTCCCGTTGGCCCCCGGCGCTGCCTCTGTGTGTGACACCTGGCTGTTCAGACAGGTGACAGCCCTGAGGACACCCCTCATGCAGGGCCTGTGTGAGTGAATAAGCACCCAGCATCCTCTCCTGCCGCTGGGTAACTGGTGCATGTTCCACTGGCTCCCAGGGGCCCCCAGGAAATCAAGCTCCAGCTGCCACAGCAGTGCCCTGCCCAGGAGAGCCCGTTCGAGGCGTCTTTCCTGCCTCATCTCCCGTCCCCCTCCGCTCGGGAATCACCTCCCAAGTCAACGGCTTTCCCTGAAATCCTGGTCCCGGGACCTGCTCCCGGGCACGCAGCCGCAGGCACTGGGCATCTGAGCTCGCAATCGCTCACGGCCGCGGAGGATGGGCGTCGGAGCACACGTGTGTGCTGCTGGGTGATGGTGTGTGCACACACATGTGCAACTGCTGTGCGTAAGAATGTGCCCACGTGCCTTGTGGCAGGCGCCCACCCAGTGGTCAGGGGGTGGATGCCACCCTGGGCTCCATGTACCAGATAAGGGGGTCGTCGAAGGGAGAGACGAAGACCCAGTCTGAGTTGTTCTTCGCCAGGGCCGTGGCCAGCTTGTGGGCCTCCTCCAACGTCTGCAAGACCACGGGGGATGCGGAGGAGGTGAGTGGTCGGGGTGCCCTCCTCTGCCACCAGCTGCCCTCCACGGTCCCCGCTCTAGGTCGGCACTCACCTCACCCACCACCTCGACCGTGGCGCCCTCACTTCTGAGCCGCTCGACGGTGAGGGCAGGTGTGGTCTTGGGCACGACGATGGTGGCGGGGATGCCCAGCCTCCTGGCCGCGTAGGCGGCTGCCATGCCCGCGTTGCCCGCTGCCAGGGGTGGTGGGTAGAGAGTGTGTCAGTTCGGGACAGCCTGGGGGCCCAACCTCCGGCCTCTGAACCCCCCTGGGTGGCCTCAGGCCTCCCCGCTGAAATTCCAAATTGGGCTGGCTGCAAACATTTGCAACGGCTCCCGGCTCCCGGCTGGGGACACCAGGGCCCAGAGAGGTGGCGCTCCTGCCCGGGGACACACAGCAGAGGGCAGGAGGAGGCGTGCAGGCCGCTTACCTGAGCAGCAGACGAAGTGTTTGCAGCCTTGCTCGGCCTTCTGTGGAAACGAGGGGAGGGGGTCAGGCTGCCCCTGGGCTCTCTCCTCTCACCTCGAGTCCTACCCGCCCAGCCCCTGGGTTCTAACTGAGTGGTTTCAGAACTTTACTGCCCCAGCCTCTCAAGCGACATCTCCCCTCCCCTCCCCAGGAGCCTGGCTCAGGGAGGGAGGGAGAGGCAGGCAGCTGAGAGCTCTGGGATCAGCCCTAGGGGACCCTGGTGACGGGCACCCCTTCCCCAGAGGAAGCGCTAGTGGTGGGTGCGTGGGCCTCGCGGGCAGCCTTGCCTGGAGCTCCTAGGGTCTCCCATGGCACCGGCCCTGCCCATCGAGGAAAGAGGACCTGTCACCCTCCCTGAAGCCGTCCTGTACCTTCTGGCAGAGGTGGCCGATGCCCCTGATCTTGAAGGAGCCCGAGGGCTGGCCACTGTCCATCTTGATGTAGACGCTGGTGCCGGCCACCTTGGACAGGGCCATGCTGTCTCGGATCGGGGTCTTCACGTGCAGGGGCTCCCGGGAGGCCATCGCGGGGGGAAGGGAGGGCAGAGGCGGCGGAGCTTCCCGCACCAGGCTGACGTGGCCCTCCCTGGAGGAGAGGAGGAGAGGGGGAGGGAGGAGCCGGACCAGGGAGACCCACCCTCAGCCCGCCCCTCCCACCCTCAGCCAGGGAGAGGAGACCCCGTCCTGCCTAGCTCCTCAGCTCGCTCAGCTCCCGCCACTGAATGTGTTCGTTCATTCATGCTCCCCGCCCTGCCCCCCAGGACCCGGTGTCTCTGACACCCACTAGCTGTGTGATCTCGGGCAAGTTCCTTGACCCCTTGATGCCTGTTTCCTCCCCTGTAAAACGGGCACACAGCACCTCCCTCTAGGGCTTCAGGGAGGATTCACTGGACTAAATGTACCCCCAAAGTACACGCTCATTAGTAGTATTTCCATTTTACACGTGGGGAAACCGAGGCACGAGGTGTGCGATGCTCTACAGACTCACACATCTCACAAGGACCTGACCCCAGTGTGCCTGGACTCCATGCCTCTTCTACTCTCTGGGCCTCGGTTTCCCCTTCTGTCCGATGGGAGGACCCCGATTCAATGAGGGCTTCTCAACTCTGAGCTCCCGGGGGGCGGGCACCAGCCTTACCATATCAGGGGGTGGTCGAACGGGGGCACGTTCACCCAGCCGTCCCTCTTGGCCAGCTCCTGTGCCCTCAGGTTGGCCTCGTCCCAGACCTAGAGAGCAAGTGCGGTCAGAGGACCTGGGGGGCAGGCAGCCTCGGGGTTGTCTCGGGTCCATTCCTGGGAACCCGAACTAACAGGGCATTTCAGAGGGAGCCCCAGCCATCTCTCCTGAGGGGACGAGGGGGCAGAAACAGCTCTGCCCACCCTCTGGCACCCACAGTGCCCGCTGGGCCTGGGCCTGGGCCAGGAGCAGGCGGAACAGACAAATAGTCCCGCCCACGGGGAACCCCTCGTCCAGCAGAAGAGCTGGGCCTCCTTCTCTTGAAATATTGAAGCAAAATGCGCCTTGAAGCTGAGCAGCCCTGAACGCCTCTCGCTGGACGCCCCCCGCAGCCTCCTGTCCCTGCCCCAAGCAGCCGGGGGCACATCCAACCATGGCCCCCCTCGCTCATCGTCCCCCCACAGCTCCCCATGGCCCCCCTCGCTCATCGTCCCCCCACGGCTCCCCATGGCCCTGGGCTAGGACGCCTGTCAGCCGCGCTGTGTTTTTGGTGACCAGGCGACCCAGGCCCCTCAGCCGCGGCCCTCTTCACACTGGGTGGTCTGGGAATGGAGAGTGATGGGATCGTCTTCTTTATACTTTGTGTCTCATCAAATGCAAACACCTGTAAGCGGCTAACACCAGGCCCCGCCGGCGTTGAGCGTGGGCCTATGAACCAGGAGGTCAGGGTTCGATTCCCGGTCAGGGCACATGCCTGGGTTGCAGACTCGATCCCCAGTGTGGGGTGTGCAGGAGGCAGCCGATCAATGGTTCTCTCTCATCATGGATGTTCCTCTCTCTCTCCCTCCCCCTTCCTCTCTGAAATCAATAACAAAATATATATATATTTTAAAGTGGTCCATGAGGCTGGGGAGACAGGCGCGCTCCTGCCCATCCCCAACTCCTGCCCTCCCACCACCCTCCCCGCCCCGGGCTGCTGCAGGGGAGTCTTCTCAGGCAGCCACAGGCAAGGCCCGGGGTCCCAGCCCTCCACACACCACACCTCACTCCACCCGTCAGCTCAGCCAACCCAAGGGCAGGCCGGGTCCCAGGCAGAGTTCAGCGAGAAGGGGGGAGGGGGGTGGCTTCCCCTTCCTGGGGTCCTTACCTTTCCAACCAGCTGCACCTCGGCCCCCTCCCCCTGCAGCCTCCTCACCACGGGCTGGGAGGCGCCCTCGGGGAGCACAATGGTGGCGGGAATGCCCAGCTTCCGAGCGCAGTAGGCAGCCGCGATGCCCGCGTTGCCCCCTGTGGAGGCAGCAGAAGGCGGAGCAGTGGGCAGTGTTGCCTTAGCCTGTTGACAGACCTTTGCCCCCCTCCTCCTCCATTTCGATCCCCAGTGTGGGGTGTGCAGGAGGCAGCCGATCAATGGTTCTCTCTCATCATGGATGTTCCTCTCTCTCTCCCTCCCCCTTCCTCTCTGAAATCAATAACAAAATATATATATATTTTAAAGTGGTCCATGAGGCTGGGGAGACAGGCGCGCTCCTGCCCATCCCCAACTCCTGCCCTCCCACCACCCTCCCCGCCCCGGGCTGCTGCAGGGGAGTCTTCTCAGGCAGCCACAGGCAAGGCCCGGGGTCCCAGCCCTCCACACACCACACCTCACTCCACCCGTCAGCTCAGCCAACCCAAGGGCAGGCCGGGTCCCAGGCAGAGTTCAGCGAGAAGGGGGGAGGGGGGTGGCTTCCCCTTCCTGGGGTCCTTACCTTTCCAACCAGCTGCACCTCGGCCCCCTCCCCCTGCAGCCTCCTCACCACGGGCTGGGAGGCGCCCTCGGGGAGCACAATGGTGGCGGGAATGCCCAGCTTCCGAGCGCAGTAGGCAGCCGCGATGCCCGCGTTGCCCCCTGTGGAGGCAGCAGAAGGCGGAGCAGTGGGCAGTGTTGCCTTAGCCTGTTGACAGACCTTTGCCCCCCTCCTCCTCCATTTCCCCGTATGAGTCACCCCTCCCCCACACCTAGACGCCCCACAAGTGAGCCCTCTCCCTGGCCTCAGAGGTGGACACGCAATCTAGATGGAACCCATCAGAGAGCACAGTCGCCTGACCCATGACGGGTTCAGGGATGAGCACATGACCCAAGCTGGGCCCAGAAGACCGAGTCATGGGTTGAGGGAGCCGTGGGGAAGGGGTGCTCCCTTTCCACTGGGGTTCGTAGGATGGCAAGAAGCAAGCCTCTCCCTCCTGACGGCCATCGTGCTGCCACGAGGCCTGAATGAGAAGGAAGCTAGCAGAGAGGAAAGAAAAGCCAGGAGTAGGGAGGGCTGCGGATGAGAGCTCCTGGATCCGGCTGTGCCTGAAAGCCGTTTCTCCTGACAATTTTCAGTTCTTGGAGCCCGGAGCTTACCCCTGTATGAACTGGGTTTCGGTCACTTCTACTAATGATGGGAACAGGGCTGGGAGAGCACATCGGACTATCGGACCATGACCTTGAGAGGCTGGACCCTTAGGAGGAGGCCAAGCCCTGGGTGTCTGTTGCTGCTCCAGCCAGCTCCTCCTCCCCCACACCCAGCCCCAGGGACCCTCAGGAGCAGAAAGGTGTGGGGTCACCTGAGGAGCACACCAGGTGTCTGCACCCCTTCTTGGCCGCCTGGGAAGAGAAGGAATGGGGTTGAGGGCAGGGGTCACGGACCCCCCTCCCGTTCCAACACCCCACCCCCCCCTCCCTCCGGTACAACCTCACTTCTGCCCTCCTGCCCGCACACCCTCACCTCCTGGCAGAAATGCCCGATGCCCCGGATCTTGAAGGAGCCGGCCGGCTGCACGTTCTCACACTTGAGGAAGACGGCGGTGCCCGCCACCTGGGACAGCGCCCAGCTCTCCAGCAGAGGCGTGACCACGTGGAAGGGCCCGCCCTTGGCGCACTCCGCCGGAGGGCTCTCCATCCCGGAAACCGCCTGGCGGGCCTGGGAGGACACGGGGCCACAGCCCAGGCAGCTCCAGTCAGGGCTCCCCCTCACCAGGCCGGGAGAGGAGGGGAGATGGGAGAGTGGAGACGCCCTCGGCTGGTTCTCTTAGCCCCGTCTGGCTGCCAGCCTGTGAGACTTCAGGCAAGAACCTGCTCCTCTCTGGGCCTCAGTTTCCCCATCTGGGCAAAACCCTTTGGACTAAGGGCCTTTCATTCTATAACCGAGGCTGCCCACGGTACTGGGGACGTAAGACCTAGCCAATAAGAAGTGATGAGTGGCCCTAACCGGTTTGGCTCAATGGATAGAGCGTTGGCCTGGGGACTCAAGGGTTCCAGGTTCGATTCCGGTCAAGGGCATGTACCTTGGTTGCAGGCACATCCCCAGTAGGGGGTGTGCAGGAGGCAGCTGATTGATGTTTCTCTCTCATCGATGTTTCTAACTCTCTATCCCTCTCCCTTCCTCTCTGTAAAAAATCAATAAAATATATTTAAAAAAAATAAAAATCATCATTCTCCCCTTTAAAAAAAAACACCCTCAAATGTGTTGGAAATACTCAAAATGCAATCAAACCCTGATTAATGGAATGCTTGTATGTATTAAAAACACTTCTGTGATGTGAATCATCACTAGTAATCAATATGGAATAGGCAGTCCCTCTTTTTTAAAGGGTTATATTCTGAAAGTTATTTTGTAAGTTGGTCATTTGGAACTCAGAACGTGTTTCATTATACCAAAAATATGTTACAAATTATGGCTAGTCAATCCAGCCTAGCAATTTAACTAGGGGCTCCAAAACAGACCCAAATTCCTGGGAGCCCCCAAATCTTGGTCAGTCTGTGCTGATCCTCAAGAGCAGCAAAATTCCTGTAGAATCAAAGTATTTCTTGTGAGGCCAGGACTACCTGGAAAATTAATATTTTCTGTATCGTGCATTCTCAAGGAGTGGGATGAAAAGTAGTTAAGTGATGAGTGAATGAAAATGGGAGAATTCATTCATTCATTCATCATTCATTCATTCATTCATGCAAAAAAACATTTATTGAGCACCCACTATGTGCCAGGTGGGTCCATGTTTTGGGACCTGGGCCCAGACAAGTCAGAGGGAGCCCTGCTTTGCCAGAGCTCACATTCTAGGAGGGGAAACAGTTACAGAATTTCTAACAGCCTCACCCGGCGTCAACTCCCGGCCGCCTTGTTCCAGCCACACCTGCACCCCTCCCCTCCTTCTCTCCTGTCATTATTGTCCTTACGTTTTTTCTCTGGATTATTTCATCTATAGACATTTCAACATGTACCTCTAAAAGTGAAGGACTCCTTTTATTCTGGCAAGATTTATTTTATTTTAAAATTTCTGTTGAGATATTGCCCTGGCCAGGTAGCTCAGTTGGTTAGAGTGTCATTCCCATATGCCAAGGTTATGGGTTCGATATCCTG